GGGGGGGGGGGGGGGGGGCATGTAGTAGTTGTGGCCAGTTTCTTTGTTTTTGTTTTTGATGAATAGTCCCAACACTTGGGAATATTATCCCTATGATTCTCTATTTTAAAAATAATTATAATAATAATGGACGTGATGGCAAAAATGCCAAATTCCTGCCTTTGTATAATTCTTCTCTAAGATAATTACGTATTTCCTGCATGACCAAAATGATTAAAATGAGTCTCGTCCTAATATGTGTTACAGCAAATTCAGCTCATACTGAGAGATTTTCACTAAGAAAGGTGGAAGAATGGATTGTCATGTAACTGACTCTCTTCTAAACAGAACCATTAACTCTTTTGCTTACTGTTAATCATTTCTGCCACCTGTCCCTCTTAGCCTGCTTTAGTTTCCATTCCAGAGATGGCTTTGCACTGCACCTTTTTACTTTGACAATCCAGATTAGAGCTACATTTCCAGGAGTGATGATAGGTATTTCTCATGATCAGAGCAGAAGGGACTCATCCTAGAGTCTAGAGTATTATTCTAAATCAGATAAGCAGATAGGAGAAAATATTTTAGCTAACTACCAACTGGTAAGTAAGTTTTCTGTGGCCCTCTCTCCTAACATTAAGGCATTATTGATCTAAATACAACAATAGTATCAGAATGGTTTAGAAAATTCTGTCTTCCAAAGTTTCAAACAGGCTGTTCCATAAAATTTTCCCTACTAATCCCAATTTGAGACTGTAAAGATCTTTCATGTTTCCTATTCTCTTAAAAATCCATCCATGGTACAAAGACTAATTGCATGAGGTTCCCTCCATTTTTATTTTGTAATTCTATACTTCTGGCCCTTCCCCTTCCAAAAGGCTACTTCACATATCCAGCAAAATGTTGTAAGATGTCTGCCCTCCTCCACCCAAGACAGAATCGATCATCTTTGACACCTACCTGCTTAGTCTCCTGAGTCTGCTTCTGAATGTAATTCCCTTTAATGGCAACACCACTCACCAGGTCAGCTCTACAGATTCTTTTTAGCCTAATTCAGTCCATTTTTAAAAATAAATGTGTATATCAAGATAACTACATCACTATATGTTTGCAGCTAAGTAAGCTTCTGTTTAAAAAAAAATTATTGAGCAAGCAAAGATCAGTTTTTTTAGTTGCAAGATACTAGTTTCAGCCCCATTATTTATCATGGGCATGAAAGCTTACATATCTTAAGCTCACATTATAATTGTCTGCCTTAAGTATCAGTTTTAGAAATGGGGGCTCTAGTCTACTCTGGAAATCAATCCCCCTTGCTGCTGTTGATACGTGCTTTTCTTAGACTGATTACTTTTGGTAGTTACATTATTCACTTTGTTGAAAAACAGCATTAGGAAAAGGTGTACAGTGAAAGTCTCCTCATCCTTATCTCCCAGCTCCCCAGTTCCCACACTGTCCTCCCCAGTAGGTAGCCACTATTCTTAGTTCGAAATGTATCCTTCCAGAAATTTGTTATGCCATTACTAGCAAAAATAAAACTATTGTTGTTTTTCTTCTTTTTCACACAAAAATAGCCTGTGCACATCCTGCAACATTTTTTGCACTTAACAGATCTTTGATTTTTTCATATCAGTATGTAGAGAGCTGCTGCCCTACTCTTTAAAAGTTGCAAAATATTGTACTGCATGGAAGTTTCATAATTTATATAACTACTCCCTCATTGAGGGCTTTAAAAATTTTGTTATTTTAAATCTGTAGTAAATAGCCTTGTACAGACATCATTTTGTGCAAGCATATCTGTAGGAAGAAATTAAAAAGCATTTGGATCTAATAATCTAAGGATGATAATTTCAAGATTCTACTAAGTGCTAGTCTACAGAAGGAAAGGAACATCAGCATGTGTTTTGCTTCTAGTCTTTTTGCCCATATTCTTTTTTTCAGACTTTCAGGCTTCTCATTTCTACTGCCCTCTTTTTGCATGAAGTTCATCACTTCCTGACTGTAATATTATTTTCAACAACCCAAAGTTAATTCTTGGCTGCTTTCAGTATCTTCTTTGCAGACATCTTATGGTAGCTAACCTATTAAGAGTAAGAATTTGAGAATTGGATGAGATTTTTTTTCACACTCATACCATGACAGGCAGTAAACAAATATACCTAAAGGGCAGTAAATTTTACAAGGTCTCAATGATTTATGTTACTTTATTCAAGCTCACCATTTCTCTCATCAGATACCAAAAAGCACATATTACATTATTAATATTTTATAGTACTACAGTGTAATCCTCTGCTTGATACCCAAAGTTAGCACACACACCCAATTTTTATTTTTATTTTTTTGGTGGGAAAGGTTAAGCTATGGTTTCAGCCCAACTTTAATTAGTCAGAAATTTTCTTTAGAAAGGAGGGGTTTTTATTGCTCTGTGAAATTCATCAAATTAAATTAAAAGGCTTTGGATTTTATATGATTTTGCTCATAACAAATTTTTGGCATCTCCTTTTCCCCTTTCCTCAATATTTGAGATTTTTTTCTATTGTGCATGATAGAGGAATGCTGCTAAGCTTGCAAGTAATTAACTTGAAATTGTTTTGAGTAATTCTGCTCTTTTGGCTTTTTGTACCTAATCAGAATTGATGTGACTGAAGTGCAAATCTTCATAATAATCATGCATTTGCTGGCAGTGATTGGAGGACCACCTTTTTGGCAGTCTATGGTAACTTTGTTCACATTGTGTATCCCATGTAATGCATGTTGTCTTTTGCTTGTGTTTTCTAATATAGGATAATCCATTTAAAGGATAATGTGTAAAATTATTTTATTTTTCTGAAGTGAAAAGTCACAGCGAACAGTAGGACACACACTTCTATTTAGAGCATGGTGAATTTTTACTACTGGGAGTTGTGTGGAAAATTGGGTCCATTAATTTTGAAGGCCACCTAGAATCAGAACTACCAATGTCATTCTGGTTTACAGATGAGGAAACAGCAGGAAGTGTAACAAGTGCATCAGTGACAAAATAAAAGGAGACCTTTATTCTCTTTCTGAACTACATAAGTCTACTGGGTTTTGTTGTCATATGCTTAAAGCTGAATAAAAATTGGGGATTGTAAATTAACTCTGGCCCCAAAGCAGGATAAATGCTTATTGAGTGAAATCAGCGCCATGGGATTGTTCTGATAAGCCAGAATGTTGATTTTCTTTCTGACTTGAAATATAATCACCCTACAAACACAATGTTTTCCACAAACCTCTGAGTTAGGGAATATAACATGGGGGCCAAGAACACAGGCTCTAAAGCCAGACTGCTTGTGCTTGATCCAGGCTCTGCTGCCCATTGTGTGAACTTGATCTGTTATGTAACTCTCTCTGGCTTAGTTTCCTCCTCTGTAAAATGAGGACAATAATAATACTTATCTCATAAAGTTATTTTGCACATTAAATGAGTTGTAAAGCACTTAGAATATTCCCTATGAAATTATAAGCACTCAGTAAAAGTTGTTGCTGTCCTACACTTTGAATGTATTTATCAGTTAATTGCTGGTCACCACCTTCCCCCTTCAAGATACACTGTGTATAATCCATTTGGTGTGATCTTACCAGAAAAAAATCACTAGACCTAAGTGAACATAATTCTTAAAAAATGAATTTTAAAGTATAAGGAAAATTTACAGAGCGAGCTTTTTCCCTTCCTAACTCACTTTATGATGGTAAATTAAGTACTTAAGGAAGTATAATTGACACACTACCCTAACTACTTTTTTTTTACCAGAAATCGTTTGGTGCCTTTTGTTGGGAGGAGGGAGGAGATGAAGGAATAAAAATAATCCACAATCAGGAAAATTCTGAAACTTCTCAGTCATTTACATACCATTCATTTATATCTCTTAGATTTTACTATAGAGCCCTTATTGGCCTTTAAGACTAATATATAGGAAGGATACAGCCAGGCATGGTACTCATGCCTGTGATCCCAGCACTTTGGGAGGTGGAGGCAAGAGGATTGCCTAAGCCCAGGGGTTCAAGACCAGCCTGGGCCACTTGGCGAGACCTCATCTCCGCAATAATTTAAAAAAATTATCCGGGTGTGGTAGTGCACACCTGTGGTTCCTGCTACTTGGAAAACTGAGGCAGAAGGATCGCCTGAGCCCAGCAGGTCAAGGCTGCAGTGGCCGTGAGTGTGCCATTGCACTCCAACCTGGGCAATAGAGTGAGGCTCCAACTTTAAAAAAAACAGAAAGATATGCATTTTATTACTTTTGCTCTTCAGTAGATTAGTATGTTGTTGTTGTTGTTTTAACAATTTTGCCTTATAGAAGGAAAGAATAGATTTTGTTTTCCTGAGACCAGGTCATAAAGCCGCACCTTCCACTCACATTTTTTATATTCCTTGACTATGTTGAATATCACTTTTATAGGCCTTGTATACCAGAATTTCCCCCCAAAATTATTTTAAATACCTTGTACATACATAAATTGCCTATAAAGTTTCAGCATTCCAACATTTTAAAAATGGAATTTCTGGCTTTATCATTTGAAAACACATAAGCATCTAGTTTATATAGGTTGAGTATTCCTTATTTAAAATGCTTGGGACCAGAAGTGTTTCAGATTTCAAATTTTTTTCATATTTTAGAGTATTTGCACATACATAATGAGATATATTGGGGCTGGGACCCAAGTCCAAACACAAAATTTATCTATGTTTCTTATACACCTCATACATATAGCCTGAAAGTAATTTTACTAAGACATTTTAAGTAATTTCATGCATGAAGCAGAAAGCAAAGATGTCACTATCTCAGCCACCCATGTGGACAACCTGTGATACCTTAGCATCACTAAGGTCATACCTAACTCTGAATTTATATGCTACTGATAATCATTTTCTTATACTTACACGTAAATATTTACTAATACAGAAAAAAAAAATGTGTTCAGGGTAGCTAAGCAGTACACATCACCAGAATACCTGTATCTTATTACTGACACCCACATGGGGTATCTGCAGACCTTTTTGACATTTTCAGCAATATCTTTACAGCAGAGAATACACAAACCCAGTGAGTAATGCACGTAGTTCGCGGCCCCTTGTAGGGGTGTCACAGGGAACCTGCCGTTGGAGTATCTGGCCCGCACACATGCCATTTTACCACCCTTTGTGGGCGTGCCTGCTTGGCAGGATACGAGTGTGTTCTGAAAAGATGCATCACAGTAGAAGGGGGTGTTGTGCACCTGTTTTTACTGCAAGCCATCACATAAGATCTGGTATGGACTTTACTACTTGTGGCATCATGTTGGCAGTTAAAACATTTTGAAGTTTGGAGCATTTCAGATTTTCAGATTAGGGATACTCAACCTGTATACCTGATTATTTTTATAAATATGGAAATGCATACAACATTGTAGTAAATGAAGCATATTATTATATACATTATGTACATATCATTATTTCTTAGGTGATGCCTTGTAGTAAATTGCTTCAGGTTTACTTTTACCTTTTTCTAGTAGGATTTGTACATATAATCTATATATAAACATAACATAATTTTTTTCTTTGACGAAGGCCAAATATTTTGCCCTATTTTTACTTGAAATTAAGATAATATAGTCATCTTTTTTATTACATATTTCTAAAAAGTTGTCTCAGGAACTCTCAGAATCAGGTCTAAAATGGAGCTCCCAGACCCAGCAATCGAATCCCAGGATTAGTGAGGTTAGGTTGCAGTGGGAAAACAGATTCTCCACACCTACCCTATTAGTAGCACATTGATCTTACTATTCGCATCATTAAACTAAAAGGGAAGTACCTGGCTTTTCTGGTGATAGTTGGAGACTTGGTGAAATATTCTGTGTTTTTTTAGCAACCTCCAGCATAGAGTCCCGTAATTGACCTCAGACCTCTATATTACATTTTTTATTGACATTATGGATTAATTACTAAATATGTTCTTTTGAATTGTATTATATCAGTTCAGGAACAGTTACTACATATAGTGCTCTCATTTGTTTGTGTGCCAAAATGGAGACAATATGTAGGCCTCAGAGTTTACATCCCCTCTAAGATTGAGACTAAAATGGAAACTACTTTTCAAATCCTCATTAAATTAAAAAGCTTTTACCGATATTTAGAAAGCAAATTTATGGTCAGAACAAACAAAAACACAGTGCAAATATCTTCATAAAGTTGATTCCAGAAGATCAGCTGTTTTGTAAAGGTAAGTGATTTACATCTCTTGCATATGGATTATCCATTTTTGGCTCCTTTTTTCCCCCAAAGAGGTAAGTTTTTAACTAAAGGTTGTAGTGTGTTAGGTTTTTGTTTTTGTTTCTGTTTTTGTTAAGAAGATAAAAATTTTTCATGTGCAAAAGTCAGTGCATGGTTTGTACATTGCAAGAAACACGGTTTTTTAGTGTTGCTTCCTCAAAAGAAAATTTCCTTTTAGAATGCCTTGGAACTGCCTTCACTCATCTCACTCTTTAAAAAACAAAAAGGGAGAGAGAGAATATATCCCTACTTTGGAAAATATCCACATATAATCTGCTTATGGTTAACTTTCACTAACTTCTGATTCTTTTAAATGTGGTAGATCGAATTTAAGTCACAAGACACCTTCTGTCATCCAGTTAAGGCAACTGGGTGAGTGTTACTACAGATGAAGTTTCAGGATTCATTTGGTAGGACTGAAGACTTACTATGTAGTATAAATTACTTAGGTCTCAGTCTTAAGCTAAAAGACTTAAAAAATACCCTTACACTTAAATAATTCATGGTGATTTTCCATAAACCTTGGTGGACACTGTAATTATGTTAACATTTGCTATATTTTGGTGGAATTCGCTTATATTAAAATGATTTTTCAAACAAGCATTTCTGCATCCTTCTGAAGAAAGTATCTAATCTCAAAATGATACTTTCTATTCCTGCCATAATTTACAAAGCCTAAGAGCATTTTATTGTACTCATAAGACTAGTCTAATAGTTTAATAATTGATTCTAATCTGCATTAATCCAAACTACTGAACAAAAACATGCCCATTGTAATTTGGTAAAGGTGCTGAGAATTGAAGATTTTTTTTTTCCATCTCTATCCTTTTAAAAAATGAATTACATTATATTGATGTTATTTGGATGCATACTTTCATGGTATGAATCCAGAGAGTTTTCAGCTGGCTATAGGACAGACACCATAACCCAAAGGAATTCTTAATCTTCTCGTTTTGAAGACTATTGAAATCTCAGACAGGCCTAAGATAAAGGTGCTTTCTGTGTAGCTCTGGCTACTTCTGAAGTGGATGCACTTTGGGCCAACTTTGATGAGTCCAAGATGATGACAGAAAGAGAAAGGGTGGGAAAGACAGAATATGCCCATTCTTTATGACCTGGAGGGAAGATCATTCCTTGATCTTGAGTGTGGGGTGAAAATGGGAACTCCTCCAGTGCTTTTTATAAGTAGCTCAGTTAATGCCATTTTTCCAAGGATCACCTAGTGAAGCTTGAGATTCCTTTGACTTCAGCTTTCCCTTCACTTGACCTCATGTTTTCTTATAGCTAACTTTCTTGTTCATTGTCAGTGTGGGGGTAAGATATTTCTTCATTCTCTTCCAAAACGGGAATTCTACATAGACAGTAAGAGAAAGGGAGAAGATCTTAATCTTAATTGAACAAATGTTTGTGGAGCACCTGCAATAACCAGGACTCTAGAGCGAATCCAAAAATCAATTTAAACAGAATTCTACATTCAGGAGCTTATGTTTTGGTATATTTAACTGATATATATGACAGAAGTAATGTGAGCTATAAGAATGCTTATGATACTTTGCTACTAAGTAGTAGCTTGCTTCCTTACTTTGTGATCCAAGCCATGTACTCATTTGCCTGGCTTTTCTCATGTTTGTGTTTATTCTTTCTTCTTTCAGTGGGAAACAGGTATTATGATTCTATAGCAGTTTTACCAAATCATAAACACAGTTATGACGCTCACTCAGGTCATTTGTGACACAGATTACTGTTATACATAGTTGGTACACATTCAGTACCCTGATCCTGATACAGGGAAGTCCCTGTAGTGGAATAATACTTTGCTTCTTTTGGAATCTGGGGAGTTTGGTATTTTCCCCTTTGTCAAAGAGGTCCTTTGTCCCTATGGAGGAAAAAGTGGGAGGAACGGCAAGAAAGACTGGGAACCAGGAAACTAGCCACAGTTTTGAGTTTCATCCAGGTGCATCAGATTTAAAATGTAATGGCCCTAGTTTTTTTTAACTAGAGTAGAAAAATCTCGAAGTTTAAAACAACCACAGTGTTGATTTTCTTCTTTATTGAAAACAAGTTTTGCACTTGTGCTGTAAGAGTTGGAGACTTAGGAAAGGAAAAAGACTATTTGGAATACTCTGTAAAGTATTGGACTTGATGTGTAGGTTGACTTATTTCATTTTACAAAATTAAACACTGCTACGTAAAACTTGAAACTTGAAAAGTTGGTTTCAGTGGGTTTTTTTTTTTTTTAGAACTGCAGTTTTGCAGGAGGTCATAGAGTTGTGTCAACAAAGTGAGTTCTTGAAAATTTTGAAGAAATGGAGTATCCAAACATTAAGATTTTTGTCCACCAATTTTACTGGGATTTTGTACATACAAAGAAATAGGAAATGTGACATTTCCTATTCTATTTTTAAAAGTGTAGGCAGATAACAGCCCTCTAAGGTATAAATATCTCTAATTTAAATGTTTTCATTGTAAGAACTTATTGCTTATTAAACTATTATGGGCTTTTGGAAATCTGTTCCTATAATCATTTGTTTCTGCTACTATAATATATCATTTGTTTAACTATTGCTTTCTTTTCAATTCATATTGGACAAAATTTGAGACCAAAAAAGCTAAAGAGAGGTGCCAAAAAGAAGAGAATCTTAAATTATTTTTAAAATTTGTGTTTTTCATTTTAAATGACAGATATCGTGCTAGCAAGATTAAATGCATGATATCAGTCCACTTTGCCTCCCTTTAGCTAAATCAGTCCATATTTTCAGTATACAATAAGATTATATTAACTTACTTTTCTGAAAAGTGAATTTCTATATTAACATTTTGGATTTACACTGGTAGAGCTGTGTCTCTGGATGTGCTTGGCCTGTATGTTTTTCCAGTAGATGAATGCCATCTCAGTCGCCCTTTGCTTTACTCACTGCCTGTATCCTAACTGTTTACAGTTGGGAATTCTTCTGAATAGGACTCTTCTCTTCCATTCTCTACTTTGCAAATATTTCTGTTATTCTGTGCTTCATACTGTATCACCACAACTAAAAATGTTCTACAGATTTAGAGGTAGAATTCAAAAAAATACAAAGAAAAAGGCAAGGTGTGCTCCATTTATAAAAAGACCAAAAGACAACCTGGTTCACTGTTGCACTGAGTGAACCTGACTTAGGTTTGTGATTAATAAAGCTGAATCCATTGTTTTTTTAAAGGTAGATGTCAAAAGTGAGGCTAATTTCTTACAGCCTCATCTCTTAAGACTTGTTATAGTGCTTACAATGAACTGGAGAAGGAAACTTTCATTTCTTTAAGTATTTCCAAACTGGAGGAAGTCGAACGTATTTGGGAATATCAAATATTTGGCTGTTTTCCTATTTTAGTTTGTATATATTTTAATTGTTCTCTCTCTCTGCCTGTTAAAGATTCCCGTGCTGAATATTCAAATGAAAATTTTTCCTGCACTTTGTACTGTAGCAGGGACCATATTTTCCTGTACAAATTACTTCCGTGTAATCTTCACAGGTGGTGTTGGAAAAAATGGATCAACAATAGCAGTGAGTATGTCTTAAGATTTTCAACAATTGTTTACACTACAACTTGGTTTTGTGGTCACTTCGTTTTTTATTTGACATATATAAAATCACTGTAATTTGGATTTTATGCTTAGCCTTAAAAAAAAATGTGCAGACGTCTCAATTATATATATACTTACCCACATTTAGATGCCTGTGTATGCATATGAAGTATGAACCTGCTTTGTAGAAATAAGCCTGGTCTCTTAAGTGAACTCCTTTGTTTATGCCTAACCAATTCATGCTGCTGCTTTTCATTAGCTGCTTTAGTGTTTGGTTTACAGAAATTGCTGTCAGTCAAGCACCATGAGGTTTTTGAAAATTTGAGTTAAACTATTCTGCAACAGATCCATGTAGTATCTGATAACTATTGGACACTATTAACTATCTCTTTACTCTGTACAGGGAACAAGTGTCCTTTCTCCTTTTCTCCATATTGGATCAGTGATTACATTGGCTGCAATGATCTACAAGAAATCAGCAGTTCAGCTTTTTGAAAAGCATCCCTGTCTTTATATACTGACGTTTGGTTTTGTATCTGCCAAAATCACTAATAAGCTTGTGGTAAGCACTTAAGTTTTTATTTGTTTTTTCACTTTCATCTTATTTTTGGCCATAGTTTTTATTTTTTATTCTGTAGCTTACTGAGCAGTCCTAGAGTTTACTCTCCTCCAAAAGCTCTTGACATTGACATGGGTGCTATTTCTGCTGTTTTATAATGCTACAGTTTGAGGTTATCAGAAGTTTTTTGAACCTCAACAACTTTTCACCCTTTTATTCACTGTATAATTTGATTATTCAGTTTACCTACACCCTTCATCTATCCAAACAAATTAAGGCTCCTTGTGAAATGCTTCTTTGGTGCGCTTAGTTAACATGGTATATCCTTTTCTTTCTCAAACACACTTCATGCTGTTGGGTTTTTAGTCTTGGAAATTCAAAAACTATTGCTAAGTAATTTTTAGAACTTTGTATTTGAGCACAATACTGATTTACTGTGTAGCTCACAATTGCTCTACTATGAAAATGCGTACATAATTTGTTCTGTTTTATTCACAGGTTGCGCATATGACAAAAAGTGAAATGCATTTGCATGACACAGCATTCATCGGTCCAGCACTTTTGTTTCTGGACCAGTATTTTAACAGCTTTATTGATGAATATATTGTCCTTTGGATTGCCCTGGTAGGTATTGTACTATGTCTTATTTCATGATTTGAAGGCTACTTGTTTCCTTGTTTTGGTGGGCCTGTCCTGAGAAACAGGTTATATAACTAATTATTTGGAATGTGAGAAATCCGCATATATGGGGCTATGTGAGAGTTCCTTTTTGGCTTCATGTTTCAGCCATTTTTGTGTCATTCTCATTAGTCCTGCCTACATCGGACAGGACTCATCAGTTACAAATTTCTGACTCTGTAAAGCATGAGTCAGCAGACTACACCCTGTGGGCCCATAGTCTGTTTTGGTAAGAACAGATCTATTGGAACGTAGCCATAGCTACTCATTTATGTATTGGCAGGGGCTGCTTTCATGCTACGATGACAGAGCTGAGCAGTTGTGACAAAGACAGAGTGGCTGCAAAACCTAAAATATTTGCTGTCTGTCTAAGAAAGAGTTTGTTGATTCTTTTTTTTTTTTTTTTTTTTTTATGAGTTGGAGTCTCACTCTGTCGCCCAGACTGGAGTGCAGTGGCCGCTCCCGGCCACCACAGCCTTGACCTGCTGGGCTCTGGCAATCCTTCTGCCTCAGCCTTCCGAGTAGCTGGAATTACAGGCGTGCGCTACCATGTCCAGCTAATTTTTTGATTTATTGTAGAGATGAGGTCTTGCTGCCCAGGCGGGTCTCAAACCCACAGGCTCAGGCAATCCACTCACCTCAGCCTCCCAAAGGTGCGGGATTATAGGCTGAGCCATCGAGCCCGGCTTGTTGATTCTTAGTGTAAAGGGAAGATTATGAGAAAATGAGTTATTAAATTATATAGAATTTAGAGAAGAAAGAGGCCACTCTTGTGCTTTTCAGAAAGCTGGCGGGCGGGGCCTAAGCAGGTGCTGAGAATCTAATCTTCTCTTTTTTCCGCAGGTCTTCTCTTTCTTTGATTTGATCCGCTACTGTGTCAGTGTTTGCAATCAGATTGCATCTCACCTGCACATACATGTCTTCAGAATCAAGGTGTCTGCAGCTCATTCTAATCATCATTAGTGATATAATTGGTGTTATATAGGAAACTTAAGTTTTCTGCAGGAAAGAATCTGAACATATTAAGGAGAATGGGGGTGGATAAGAACAAATATAATTTATAATAATCAATGTTATATAACTTTTATTCTTTATTGTTGGTAACACTCCCTAACTATCCTGTGTGAGAATGGGAATTTCAAATCCCATTCTGTAAACTGTACATGTTGTCATGCAGGGTTTGGGCCAAAAAAGCGTGGGGGGGGTGGGGGGGAAAAGCCACATGTTTGTAATTATCCTGAATTCAGAATAATATTGCCATGGGGAGCAGACCCCCAGTGATGGACGTTTCTAATGTAGACTGTTTGCAGGCCAAAAGATGGTTGCTTTATAATTTTTACAAATCATCATCTTTTAGTAACAACCTTGTTTGATGTCTTTTCAAGCTTTTTTTACTAAGGAGCTCAGCTTGTGACATGGATACATCCCACTAGCTGTGAGGTGGAACTAGTGATAAAAACCTTGAATTTGGATTGAAAGGTTTCCTGTCTTTACATTGTTGAGGAAGTCGTTTTTTAATTGCTCAAGAAATGGTATCTCTCATGGGCTTGGGAAATTCTGTTAGCATGCAGAATAATGTGGTAACTTTGTCGATCTATTTTATTTTTTTAAATAAATATATGATCTGAAAGCCAGCTTTTTCTCAGTTTATTCAGTGGAAAAATAAACTAAGTTTTAATGTTATTTTTGAAAATTTAAGCAAAATTTATATCTGTTCTTTAATAAATAAGGAAAATTCCGTTCGTTGATTTGCTGTGATGTGTCCTGTGACCTTCCTGTTTTGTGTTCATGCTTCCTGTCAATGGGTTCTGTGTGTTATAGTCATCACCTATGTATGATCAGTCATGTAGGCATCTCAAACGCTACTCTACATTTTCAGTAAGTGCCTGGGCCTCTCCAAGGTCGCTCTGTCCTCTCCTTTTGTGGCACTCTCATCTCTAGTATCTGTGCTGCATCATGGAATGGGTGCCAGGTGTCCTTTGTGAACCGGGTATGTTTCCATCATATACAGACAGCTCAGTTACTTGAATGAAGAGGAAGACAGTGGGAAAGGTGTCAACTGTTGGCTAAAATGATAGATTTTTGTCTACACCCTGTCCCATAATCAGGAATAATCAGTAGCTACGCCGTGCTTGGCAGCCAGAGCCTTGCTTTCTTGCACTTTGAATGGTTCCATCAGTTCCATGTAGATCAGATTAGCAGTGAGAGTTCAATCTTTAATTTCTTTGCTGGGCTATAACAGAAAAATGAAATCTCATTACCTTTGTTTACTGGCAATTTCTCTAGCATCTGAGACAGAAAATTACATGTAAGAAAATGTCAGGGCAGATCAAGTCTCGAAAGCTAGGACAAAAAAAGGAAGAATAATTCTACTTGTTCTGCACACTTACATCTGTTGTTTTATCAACACAGCAGGTTTTCGTTACCTCCAGTGGAAATTGAGACCTGGAAAGGCCAAATGGCATAGCATACCAATGTCAGTTGCTATTTTTTAGAACAGAGACTAGAATCCAGATCTTTTGAATTCTGGTACAGTGCTCTCTCCTACAACATACTGGGCTTTCATGGTCTGAAGCTGTACACCAAAGATGTTGAAATATGTGTATTCTCCTAGAATCTTTTTCAGCATAAAGGGAATCTGAAAAGCACACAGATTATTTGGTGTGTGCTTCCCTCAGCTCTAGATGTACCATCAGCAGCAGATCAAAGATACATCTGTAGTAGACCTCAGCTAACCTGAATTCTTGTTGCGTTCATATATAAGGGGGATCCAAAAAAACCTGAATTTATTTATACAAAATTGTGTATTCTTACATGTTTAAACTTTAGTCACCTTCAAAATACTCTCCGATGCAATACTGAGATGCTTTCTCCACTGCTCAAAACAGTTTTGAACCTGTCCATTTTGATGCCTTTTCGTGCTTCTGCTGTTTTTAGTTTGACCTTCCGCATTGGTACAATGTTTCCCTTTGAGGACTTTTTTCATCCCCAGAAACAAAAAAAAGTCGCTCGAGGTGAGATTGGGCGAATAGGGAGGCTGGAGCACTGGGGTCATGCCGTTTGGGGGTCAAAAACGGCTGTGTGTAGGCAGGTGTGCTAGTAAATCACCCATCGTGAAATGGGCGAACATGTTAAAAGATTCTCCACCCGGCCACTGTGACTCACGCCTGTAATCTCAACACTTAGGAAGATGGAGGTGAGAGGACTGCCTGAGCCCAGGGGTTCAAGGTCAGCCTGGGCAAAATAGTGAGACCTCATCTCCGCAGTAAATCAACATTCACCAGGCACGGTGGCGTGTACCTGTAGATCCAGCTACTTACCGCCTGAGCCCAACAGGTTGATGCTGGGGTGGCCGTGACTCAAAAAAAAAAAAAATCTCCAAAAAAAATTCACTGAGGCTGAACACACCCTCTCAACACTAGCAGGTACACTGACGCCAAAGGGTTCCTAGAACATTTACCTAGTGGGGGGATGCCTGTACTGTAAGTGACTCGCCCACCAAAAACTAATTCTGGTTTTGTTTTGTTTTGTTGTTGTTTTATTGAGCCCTCATACCTGGTCAGAAATCAAAATCACCTGAAGAAACTTTTTTTTTTTAAGTATAGATTTCCAGGTCCTAGCTCAAGAGAGGATTGGGTAGATTTGAGATGGGGCCTCAGAGTATTTTCACAAGATTCCCAGGATTCTGGCTCCTGTTCTGAAACCTTTTGAATGAAATACAACTAGGCTTGGGAACCACTGCTATAAACTACCAAAAAAGATGTAATTCTTAGAAGCTATAAAGAGTAGGAGTGTAGTTAGGGGTGGTGTCTGCCACCTACAACAGGTTTCTATGCTCCCAAACACAAATTACATTGGCTTTAATTTCAGTTTCGTAGCTCCTGCCCATTTTCCTACCCTCCAGAAACTTGTACAGAATTCAGGAACTTCTCAGGGCCACACACGCATAAGAAAGGTAGAACTTGTAAAAGATAAGATTCTTCTAAAAGAGCTTCTCAGTGTTTAAACAAGCTATCAGTGAAAGTATAGTGGGAGGATACATGGGGTAACCACTCAACTTTAGACTCAATTAAATTCTTTTCTCAAAAGGGAAAATGGCAATGCAGAGACCCCTCCACCTTTAGCTAAAGGGTTGAACTGCACTTCTCAGCATAAAGACCAGCTGGAAGGAGGGTGTCTTAAGACTGAAGGTCAAGGACTAGTCCAAGATGGAAGTGATAGGCAAGCCGACCTTACAGAAGCCATGGGGTGTCCTTCACTACCTTCTGCCGACTGAAGATTCTACCATCATGTTCCCCAAGGCTGCAGCTGCCTCCCTCTGGGGAGCAGCCTCCTCCCAGGATTCTGGAAAGCACACCTGACGGGAACCAAGGACTCTGCTGTACCATGTGCTGCTTTTGCCAGGATATTACTCTTCCTGCTAGAAGTGGAGCTGCTGACACTCCAAGTACAGCCCCGAGGTCAAGGTCACCATGACCAGGGTCTCCACTTCCACTTTGTTTTCAGATGTATTGCCTCATGGTCCTGATTTTCCCCCATGCTGAAAGCCAAACACACATAAACAGTAAGATTTTCGTCTTTACTCTCATCCTCACATGTCCACAGACCTCTTTTCCAAGGCAAAGGACTGGGTCCTAGGGCCACAACTGCGTTCTCTGTTTAAGAATTTGTAGTAGTGGTTCCCGGGAGAGGGTGGTTGCAGCAACTTCTAACCAAGTGTCTACAATACCTGGACTACTGCATCCACTCTGTGTCACCTCTGCAAAGAATGCAGCTTTGAGTCCAGTTCTATGAGCATGAGGGCGAAGCCCTCCAAAGTTCTGGGAATGCTGGCAACAGTTCCCAAACTCAAGACACCGGTCTGAAACAAGCCCTGGATACCAGGACTTGAAAGAGGCTGTGGGTTTTCAGGGCTAAGACCTTTGTGGATCCTGCCACACTGGCAGGGGCCAAAGTCCAGGACTGGGTGTAGGTCTAGTCACTCCTGTTCACCACACTCTTATTTCACAGTCTTTTTTCCCTTGGTTTCTTCTGTTTCTTCTGTTCCTCGTATTCAAGTATTTTCTGTTGGAAATAGCCTGTGGGTTCAGATACCGGTGTTAGACACATCTAATCTGCTCAGGCAGACTGTGATAAGCTCAGGACTAAGGATTAGAAATATCCTCTGTCTGCTCCCTGCAATGCTGCCACCCCCAATGTCCCCATCCTTTCCAGATTTCCCATGCCCTCACGGGCTTCTAGAGATCCAGGTATTTAGTTTGGTCTAAAAAGAGACCCACAGACAGAATGCTTGGCAGGAACAAGCTCCCAACTAAAAGAGGAGAGGACCCAATGAAGGCTGATGGATAGAGCAACTTTTATAAAATGTCAGCCCATGAGACACTTCCCTGAAGTTTCAGGTTACTTCATTTCAGCCTCACTAAATAATATCACAGCTATTTTGTAGGCCTCTAGAGAGAGAATTTTCCCTCCTTGCTCTTCATCCTGGAGGTCTAGCCCTCTCTGGACTTAGACCGATGGGAACCAACGTCACCGGGTACCTGCAGGAGGATTCTTGCTCTTCTCGGCTTCTTGGATGAAGAGGGAGAACAGCTGTGTCTTCACAAACTTCTTCACAAACCGGCGGTTGTTCTTGGAGGTCAGAGCCTTACAAAAGGGTCGTTCTTGGAAGTGGCCTTGTCCATTTGCCTCCCGCTTGATAAAGGAAGCATAGTGACCCACAGTCTTGACAAAGAACTGCACAAAAGGGCCTGAAACATGCTCGTTGATTTGTTCTGCAGCTACAGAGGATACATAAAGGCCATGTCAGAAGGATGAAATTACCCACACTCACCTCCAAGAATGGCTTTCATGGCAGGCAGAAAGCTCCGGGGGAAAGACAGGCAGGGTTCCCAATTACCAACTGGCAGAAACAGGAGCCTGGATATGGATTCTTTGCCATTGCTTAGGAAGAATAAAGTTCCAGATTCAGGCTTGCCCTAGGATCTAGGTCTCTGGGACTGGCCTAGGACTGCCAAGTGAGTTCATTTTAGTTCTGGAACAGAATGGTTGATTATCATGCCCTTGAGCTCCCTGAGAAACCCAAAATAAGAGGGACCTAGAACTTACTCGTTAACTCATTGATCCCCTGACCAAGAGAGTCTAAGATGTCATCCTGAAGCTTCGGTGGTAGGATGTCTTTTTCATCACCAACCTAGGAGACAACAGAGCTCAGAGGTCAAGTGGTCAGGAAGGAGATGTGGAGTGAAGGATGTTGGCAGAAAAGCATGAGGAGGACATGAATTCTCTACCCCCAAGTAATCATTCACACAGGAAAGAAACAACAGAAGCTGTGTGTTGGTCTTCAGTTTGACTCAACATTAGTAAGGAATTGTCTGGATCCCTGTGGTCCTTGCTCAAAAGATACTGGTTGTCTTTTTTTTTTTAGTCGGAGTCTCACTCTGTCACCCAGGCTGGACACACTCACGGCCCCTGCCACCTCGACCTGCTGGGCTCAAGCAATTCTGTCATCTCAGCCTTCCAATTAGCTGGAACGGCAGATGCGAACCACCACGCCCAACTAATTTTTTTAATTTATTGTAGAGATGAGGTCTCGCCAAGTTGCTTTGTAGTAAAGTCATCTGTGTCTGTATCTGTGGGCTCCCCCAGAGAGGGGAGGTCCAATTAGCCCGGGTTCTCACACAACCAAGTACTTAATGTTTATTGAAATAAGTGGAACATGGATGCAACTAGAGTGGTTGAGTTGGTGGCAGGTCTGCAGAGGATCTGAACCCAAATGCTTACCGACATTAAGAAGGTTCCTTCACAGAGATTCACCAGCAGGACCTGAAATAAACATAGGACAGCTTTCTCGTGTTCTCCATAGTCCTCAGGAGGACCTACCATCTCCATTTCTGCTTGGGGCTGTACCTTTCAGCCCAGATAGCAACAAGATTAACATCTTCAACTCTCGTTTCTTGTTGGGCATTCTCCTTTCTCAGCATTCCCTTCTAGAAATCTCAGTTCTCTTCCTGGGGAGAGGGTGTGGGTATGTTTTTGAAGGGGGTAGGGGGAAGAGCCAGGTAGAAGGGGGAATACGATATAGGGAAATCATAGTCCGTCACTCCCCTCAATAAAGCATGGATCGCAGAAACTGCTTCTCCATGGAGCATTCAGTACCTGGCACACATGAGTGCTTTACACACTTGGTCTCTAATCCTCGCAAGAGTCCTGTGAGACAAGTACTACCTCCGTTTTACAGGTGAGGAAACAGACCCAAAGAAGGTTGCCTGAGGTCCTCCTGCTAACAAACAGAAAAGCCAGTTTGTTTCCAGGCCTGGACTGTGCTGTTCTTGGACTGCATTCTTCTCGCGTCAACTCCCCTTAACTCCCTGCCCTCCAGGACAGAGACTGACATCTTTTGATTTGTTTAATGCTTGCAACAACTTCTGTACAATTTTCTATCAGATAAACTCCCTCAGAGGTTGGGCTTTCCAGCAGGAAGGCAGGAAATGAGCCCAGAGCAAACAGGAATGGGAAAGGAAAGGAAGTGAAGTGAGGAGACCACGTGGCTATAGTCTTCAGGTGAGGGGAACACACAGGGCTGGAACCTGGGAAACCTGAGTTCCGGCATCAGCTCCACCACTGCCAGAGGGTCCTTCAGTCTAGACCAGAGATTATTACACTTAGGCATCCTGCTGGCTGAATCTAACCAGCAGATCTGTTGCTTTGATCTTTGGAATATATATATGTATATATATGTATATATACATATTTAAACTTTATTTTATTATAAAGATGTGGGGTACAAATCAGGATTTGGTACATAAGTAATATATGTGCAGGTGAAGTTTGGGCCTCCAACTGGTCCTCACATCCCCTGGTTTAGGACTAGGTATGCTTTGTGTTATGTGTCCCCCACAACCCCCCCCACCCAGTGTCCTGCCGCTGCCAATTCCTCCATTGTGCTGTTGTGATTAAAGTCCAAGTCCCACTTATAAGTGAGAGCATGTGGTATTTGGTTTCGTTTCTGTGATAGATCACTCAGAATGATTGTCTCAAATTCCATCTAATTTGCTGATCTTCAGAATATTTTTAAGCTGGGCTTGGTGGCTCACCCTGTAATCCCGTGCCTTGGGAGGCTGAGATGAGTGGATTGCCTGAGCCCGCGGGTTCGAGACCCGCCTGGGCAACTTGGTGAGACCTCATCTCTACAGTAAATCAAAAAATCAGCCGGGCGTGGTAGCACGTGCCTGTAGTTCCAGCTACTTGGAAGGCTGAGGCGGAAGGATCGCTGGAGCCCAGCAGGTCGAGGTTGCGGTGGCCAGGAGCGGCCACTGCACTCCAGTCTGGGCGACGGAGTGAGACTCCAACTCAAAAAAAAAAAAAAAAAAGAATATTTTTAAATAATTGGTTAGTTTCCAATATTTAAATTGGAATAGTGCACATAAAATTTCAATTTTGGGCTTCTCTTGAAAAGTCAGGAACTCTGACATGGTCCATGGAGTCACAGTCGACCCCTTCAGGCAAGGCATGTGCTCACCAGTTTACTATAACCTTCCAGGTCCTGTGTTGGTCATTCACACGTCCGCTGGGCCACTGTTTTCGGTCTATGACCCTTGGTCTTGCCAGGAGGGTGGATGATCCCTCCATTTGCCCTTCTTACAAATACAAGGGGAGAGAGAAGTGGAAAGTATGCCAACAAGCAGTGTGCACTGTAATTACCCATCACCCAGGGAGGAAAATTGAACTAGTCCAGGCCTGAAACCGCTTGTATACATGGGCTCAGATGCCTTCGGGCAGGGAAGGCTGTTCCTTTTGGAGGTTGGGAGGAAACTGTGTGTATGAATAATTTTTTTTTTCGAGATTATTCCCAGAAATCTTCCCAGTACTCCGCAGGCATATTATTGACTGTGGAGTAATGCCTTCCCAAGAGCCAAAGTCTGACTGGCCATCAGGGGAGGAGCCACAGCTTCTGAGAAGCTGGAGCTACAGAGTCAGGAAGTTTCATAACTTCGGGGGTTGGGACATTTCAAGTTGTATTGCTCAACATGGGGCTAATACTCTGTCCCAGTTAGTCACAAGGCTAAGGCTAGTTCAAAGGCCATGTGTACTCAGCAGTCCTGAGGAAGGGTGGGAAGGCCAGAGGGGCAAGGAAGGAAAACACAGCCTGCTTCTTTACTTCCGGCAAGAGTGTCTATAGGAAGGGCTCTGGGCTTATCTGTGTGACCTCAGGCAACTCCACTGAGTTCTCTGGACCTCAGTTATCTCATGTAAAATGGGAAAATCCTCCCTCTGGGGCTGGCTCTGTGCCCCTTTAATAGCTTACTCACAGGTACCTCCTCTCTCCCATAGGCTCTTTCTCTGCTTAGGGTAAGTCAGTGGTTAGCCAGGATAGATAATGCCAAGTAACTCTTCTGGCTTAAGTAACCTGCTATCCTTTGAAAGTTCCCACCAACAACTCAAAGCAGAGCGCATGTTTTGAATTGGCTTTCCAACATGGGGATAACGCCTTTGGGAATTTTTTATTTATTTTTACTTTTTTAAGAAACAGAGTCTTGTTCTGTCACCCAGGCTGAAGTGTGGTGGCGCGATCATGCCTCGCTGTAACCTTGAACTCCCGGGCTTAAGTGATCCTCCCGCCTCAGCCTCCCAAATAACTGGGACTACAAGCACATACCACCAAACCTGGCTAATTTTTTTATTTCTTATAGAAATGAGGTCTCTCACTCACAAGCAGACCCTGAAGATTTGCTGTAATACTGTAAGAAAGGGATTGGCAGTAGCGGGATACCGCCAGGGGAGGGAGGTAGTGAGAACACATCAATAAAGGGTGCCTGATCTCAAACCAGGTGAAGTGGGGACCAACGGGAGGCCCAAACTTCACCTGTACAGTGACTACTTGTATACTTAATCTTGAATTGTACCCCACATCTTTAAAATTAAAGAAATAAAACATATTACACAGAACACTGCACTTTCCTACTGTGCACTTGAAACATGGCTATTACCACTGAGTTGAACTTTTGATTGTGATGGTGACACACCTCTGTGACTTTTCATTGCCCCAAGAAGAAACTTCATACCCACTCTCTGTTTCTCTCAGCATTTTTCCAGTCCTAGACACTCACTAATCTGTTTCTATAGATTTGCCTATTCTGAAAAAAAAAAAAGGAAAGAAATGAGGTCTTGCTATGTTGCCCAGGTAGGTCTTGAACTCCTGGCCTCATGCAATCCTCCTGCCTCAACCTCCCAATGAGCTGGAATGACAGGCATGAGCCGCCGTGCCTGGCAATTTATGCAATTAATGCCCATTTTCACAACTGAGCCCTCTGGGTGTGTCTAGGGCACTACCAAAAAATAAGCTAACAAAATCAAAGAGCTTTAGGACTATATCCTCACTAGCCAACTGGCTCTGAGCTACTCAGAAAGATGGCTCCTATTGCAAACAATCAGCATTTTCAAGACTCAGTTTGCAGGAGGGTTACATTAGCTCACTTCCAAGGAATCTGAAGAAATCCCAGTGGGGTGTGTGTTGTATAGACCAGCTGTCATCCATTCGGATGAGACAGGGCACCCCCAGAGACTGCTCATCAGGGCTAGCTGGCATTTAGGACAGTCTGATGATCCCTGGATAAGCTATGTGCTGCCCCTGAAGCCTGAAGGGAAACCCTTCAGGAGAAGGCAGTCAACATTCAGTAAGCATCAACTATGTGTCAGATGCCAGGTTAGGAGCCGCATGCAGGTGCTCCCCCCTCCACCCCCGAATCCCTAGGAACTTGGCCTCATTTTACCTATGAGGAAGCTCAAGCTCAAAGAGGCGAAGTCACGTGCTCCTAATCACACAGCCCTTAGTAGCAAAACTGAGATGGGAATCCAGGTCTGCCTGGCACATCTTACCTCTTCCATGGGGCTGTCCAGGACCTCCTGACGGAAGCGCATTTGTACGCCAACCATGAAGGGGGTGGGGCAGCAAACGGTGGCCAGAAGGCTCTCGGGGACAACAGGGATGTAGGTGTGCGCCCAGCTGAAGGGGTAGAGCAGTGCGGCGGCAGCGTGGATGCACTGAGACAGGGTGCTGGGACAGGGCACAGATGACAAGAGTCAGAGGGGCCCCTGCACCTCCGCCCTGCGTACCCTTCACCGCCCACCTCCAACGACGGCTACTGCCTGCGTGCTGCCTGTGCCACGCAGAAAGGAAAGTCCTGGAGCCATCTTGGTCACAGCTTGAAACCACGTATTGCCGGAAGGAGAAGAACAAAAACCAGGAGAGAGCCATGCACCACTAATCAAGAGGGCACGCTGGCTCGTGCCCCAGCACTTTGGGAGGCCAAGGGGAGAGGACTGCCTAAGTCCAAGGGTTCGAGACCAGCCTGGGCAACTTGGTGAGACCTCCCCCCCATCTCTACACTAAATCAAAAAATTAGCTGGGTGTGGTGGTGCGAGCCTGTAGTTCCAGCTACTTGGAAGGCTGAGGCAGAAGGAACGCCTGAGACCAGGAGGTAGAGACTGTGGTGGCCATGAACATTTAATCCATCTTTTCCCAATTCCTCTTCTCCAACTCACTACTAGCCAAAATACAAGTAACCTCAAAGAGGGCAAGGAAGAAAATTTGCCTTCATTCAAGCAGATAATTAATGGAGTCCCTACTTGGTGTTTACTGCTGAGCTAAGATAAGACACCAACCCTACTTTTAAGGGTCTCACAGAGTAGTAAAGAGGCATGTGTGCACACACAGCGGGCTCACCAGAGAGGCAAGGCCTCTTTCCTCCTTATGTCCGTTCACCCTCATCCCTAGCCTTGACCTCACACAGCTCCCTCTGGCCACTCAAGTTTATGTCTGAAAGGTTACCAGGTTAGTGCCCAAGTTAGCCTGGGAAATTCCTAAGTTCCAGGAACCTCTGTCCGGCAATTCCTACGTGGAAAGTCCCTCAGAGGTGGCTCCTCAAGTCTTTTCAGTGAAGCAATCCCCATGTCACTCCTGCCCAAGTCACAGCTCCAGATCCGCTCCTCACCCCACCACACACACAACTCCACTCTCTGTCTTCTCTGCTCTCCACTGACTTTCATGGCTCTTGAGCCAAATTGCCCAAGGCCAAGGCCAATAAAAACAGATGCAGGAATACTTGTTTCAATTCTGGGCTTCAAGCTAGTACTTCCTGAGTTAGCAAGATTGAGTCTCTAAGGGTCTAGCCAAGGCTTAGACTGACTGGAAGTCTCCACCCCGCCTGAGCTTCAGGGACCTGAAAAACTCAGTGTGGGAAGGAAGTGGGGAGTGGTAGGATTTTCCTGGAGAAAGTTAGTGCCTCAGAGGTAAATCCTGCCAACCTTCACTTCCCCGACCCAGCTCTGAGGGGAATGGCCAGAACCCAGCACCATCCACGCAGAAACTTCTGGCTTCCATATAGGGCTAAGAGTGGAAGAGCTATTTCCAAAGCAAAAGATGATGTCACTTCCCTCAAGGACTAGCCTACAACTAGTTCCTTTTCGGTTATCACTGATTTTTATAGAATCTTCAACAGACAAACCCCACTCCCTGCCTAAGCTTCCTTTCCCCTGAAACCCATGACATTCACCTGACCCTCTGGCTTCTGTTATTTGAGTTCCTAACATCCTTTTCTTGTTCTTCCCTAAAAGCTAAAACCAGGATTGTCAGTCCAATAGCACTAGTTCTTTCCATGCCCAGAAAAGACTGAAAGGGCCACCCCTTTTATGATTTTTGTTCTGTGCCACGTTGTTACATGTCTCCCCACGTCTTTCCTTCTCAGACTTGAAGCCCCTCAGAAGGAGAGACAAGACACAACAATACTCTGCTTCAACTATGAATTCAACTGTGAACTTATTAAGAATACCAGGTTGATGTGCCCACAGGGCATTGTGTACCGAATGTTATATTTCGTTTAATCCTCACCACACCCTTAGTAGGTTGGGACAATCATTATTTCAATTTCCAAGAAGTTAAGAAACTAACCTAAGTAAAACCTCATAACCAAAGGTAGAATAGGCTCTGGACATCATTCTGCTGATTTCAGTTCCTACGCTTTCAACCACTTTATAATTCTGTATCCTGTTAAGGTCAAGGACAATGTCTTGTTTGTATCTTCCCAATGCTTGGCATTTGGCAAACAGCAGCTGACACACAATACATGTTTGTTGAGTAAGTGAATTAATGGATAGGTGGGATTAACCTCCATAATATTATCCACCTTCCTGTCCTGGTCTCCACCCTCCTTCCCTCCCTCAGTCTTGCAAGAACAGAATCATGTGTGCATCCACCCTAACTGGTCTCGCCTGGGCTGTCCCTGGAACAATTTCTGCCCTTTTCAGAGCTTCCTGCTCTTGTCAGGATCTTTCCTCAGGCCCAGGCAGCAGTCAAGCTTGGAGGCAGGGGAGTCATAACAACTGTTTCTCTAGGCCTAACGTGCAGATCAAGGAGCTGGAAGCAGCTGGGCATGGTGGCTCACACCTGTAATCCTAGCACTTTGGGAGATGGAGGCTAGAGGATTGCCTGAGTCCATGGGTTCGAAACCAGCCTAGGCAACTTGACTCGAGCTCGTATCTACAATATACCCAAAAAACAGCAAGGCGTGGTGGCACACCTGTACTTCCAACTACTTGGAAATCTGAGGCAGAAGGATCACCTGAGCCTTGCAGGTCAGGTCTACAGTAGCTGTGAGCATGTCACTGTACTCCAGCCTGGGTGACAGAGTGAGACTCAGACTCAAAAAAAAAAAAAAAAAAGGAGCTGGAAGCAGGATGGGTGACACAAGGGCCCTACAGCCTGATTTCCTTGGAGAATTTCCTATCTGTTCCCTTGAGCCCAAGGATGCCGGCCAGTTCAGGTGAGTTGTTCAGCAGCGAAGCCCACCTGAGACCTTCTGCCAGGAAGATGATTTTTCTCTCCAGCACCGCAGAGGCAAAGATCTGAAGTATCTGTTCAAAACCGAGGCACTGCAACAGGGAACTAAAATCCACATGTTCTAGGTGGGAGTCCAGGGGCCGTGTCAGTGAAATGAACTGTGAGGAAAGCAGAGAGGAGGAAGGTGTAACTACACTGCAAGATCACACAGACTCCAGAGAGCTGGGCCTCCGCCAGCCTCCACTCCGTCTCCCCACAAGAGTAACTCTGACTCTGTCTCCCTCCCTTGCTGACCTGCTTGAGGACTGACAATCTTGAGCATAGCCCACCAGGTCCTGCCCCCTCCTCGACCAGTCCTCATGAGCACACTAGCCACTTCTGTTCCTCCAGCAGTCTCCACTTTCCTGCCTGCAGCCCTTCTCCCCTATTGCTCTGTTCCCTTCATTCTTTCTCTTCATTCATTGCTCTCCCTCTGAGCCTTTCTGAGTCCATGGGTTCGAAACCAGCCTAGGCAACTTGGCTCAATCTCATATCTACAATATGCCAAAAAAACAGCAAGGCATGGTGGCACACCTGTACTTCCAACTACTCGGAAGGCTGAGGCAGAAGGATCACCTGAGCCTTTCAGGTCAAGGCTTTCGGGGCTCAGAGACTACCCTACCCCTGCTTGGCCACCAAATGCTTTCCCATCTTTTTCTCATGCACCACTCTAGGTTTTTCCTTTAATCAAGTATATGATTTTTAAAAATAAGCCAGGTGCGGTGGTAATCCCAGCACTTTGAGAGGCAGAGGCAAGAGGAATGCCTGAGCCCAGGGCTTCAAGACCAGCCTGGGGCAACTTGGCAAGACCTCATCTCTACAATAAATCAAATAAAAAAATTTAGCCAGGCATTGTGGCATGTGCCTGTAGTTCCAGCTACTTGGAAGGCTGAGGCAAAAGGATCGCCTGAGCCCAGCAGGTTGA